TTTCTTACATTTATATTTGAATAATCAGCTGTTTTCATTTGACACCAGAGTAATAATGCATCTTTAGCTGATTTTGTTTCGGTTGATTCATATTCTTCAATAGTTATATCTTGAATTTGAAAACGTAAAATTATTGTCCATATAAGACCAAGTATTAACGATGAATTACCATCGACAATATCGTGAGCGCTAAAAACAAATCAATATAAAAAAATTATGACTTATTGGAAATCTTATATAATAATCTATTAAGGACCTTGAACGGCATTCCGCTCTTCTGAAGCGAAAGCAAAAGATTATTTTTCCTGATTCTCTCTCTATACGTCATTGTCTTATGTATTAGTTCAAATCACCATCATCAGCAGCAGAATATGTATCTATGGTAATGAGATATTCTTTCAAAAAACTATCGTTTATTTGTATAATTCACAATGTGCAACTTGATCATGCGTACTTCATTAGTGCATAATTAACTATTAATAATAATAATAATTCTTTCGATGTAAAATAAAACAATTGTTTGCCTTCAAACAATCTCGATCCATATACAAATCTGTATTTCCTTGTCTTCAATGATATTATGTATTATTTGTTATCTTTATTCTTAAATCATCTTAGTCAGTATTCGAAAAAAAAAGAATCAATAGTTAATCTTTTCATTTTCTCTAGAATAATTAAGATCTATCTTATATAATATCCCCCAAGGAATTCTCAAATTCTACACCAATAAAAACTCGAGCTCTTATACGAATACTTAGAAATTATTGTTTTATTTCATACTACTTCGGGCATGTTCGACACATACTTTCATTCAACTTTTGTTGTGACGAGAGTGGAACGGAATTTCCGTTTCGTAACTAACCATCGAACTCACTTGATTTTTATGCAAAATAATAACTACTACATACCCAATATTTTCCAAATGAACATGTTGTTCTTGTAAGAACATAATAGCTTTATCGACATTTTCTAAACAATGAATACGCATTTTTCCTCGTGTTGCTTTAGGTAAACGTTCGCCACTTAATATTTCTAATAAACGAATTAGATTTCGTCCATCGCCTAGATCAGTATATAAATCAGTTACTCGACAACCAACACGAGTTAAATGTGAATTAACCCATTTTGTAAATGTTTTCTTTTGCACATGGCCACGTTCATCAGCTAAGGCTTGGATACGTGTTCGTTCGAACATACGTGCTGATGAATTACATTCATCTTGACCAGCTAAATCAAGATCTACTGCTAATTGATCAATATTAAAATTATTTGGATCTTGTTGAGAATTATTATGACCATTGGTTTGAGGAAGATGGATACCATTTGCTGTTGCTGATGACATGTCCAAACTAAATGAGAAAAAATTTTCTTTTTTTTCAGTTACTCATATATATAAGATAAAAAAAAAGGAAAAAGAAAACTGCACACATACAGACTAACTAACCTAGAAGGAAAAAATCAATTCTCCGGAGAAATCGCAACTGTTACAAGAATGATTCTTTTTAGATCTCTTGTTTCCTTCTCTCTTTTCTCTGACTGACTAATATGAAAACAATGGTTTTTATGAATGAAAAAGAGTAAGGCACCAGCTATTTCTTTCTTTTTTTTTTACATAAGCACTAATACTACAATCATGCCGATAGGAGAAAGAAGATTAATTGTGTCAGTATGTTTTTCTATGTATGTATAGAAGCACAAAAAAAAAAAAAAAGAAAAAGAAATTCTATGCCAACTCGACAAACATACTCATCATCTTATTATCCAACTATCAAAAGAATTAGCATTTTAGTCTTTCTTTTTTCGTTGAAGTAAAAGATACGCGCACTTCCTTACTAAGCTTGATGTTGATGGTAGGATACCGTATCGACCATTTTTACTGTCTTTATTATAGTTAGACATCTAACAATACATTATTTGCTTATGTATAAAGAAGTGATAGATATTCTCTTCTTTCTTTTTTTTTCTCTCATACTCATATTCATGTGTCTGTAGTGTGTCCATCGGTCAGTCGGTTATCTTAGGCGATAAGACAAAGAATAGAAGGCAATATCGTTCATGTTTTATCTATGCTTATTTCTACTTGTAGATGCAGTGATGTCGATAGTGTTAGTAATCATTTGCGTTCATAGCGCTTCTATTCTCCCTTTCCGTTCAAAGGTGGTGGTAGTGATGATGATGGTTGTTGCAGTAATAATGTTAGTAGTGGCTTTTTTTTCTCTCTTTCTCTTTCGTCAAGTCTGTGTTCTGTTCCTTCTTCTTCTTTTTTTCTCCATCGTCCGTTCGTTCTCTTTAGTTGAGAAGAATACTAAAATGGTACCATTATTATTGCTATGATGACTACTGTCGCTGTAGTCGTGCCGTACGGCATATTTTTTTTTTTCATATAGAGCGAATCGCGGTTTTCTCTTTTTCTTTCTTTTGCACTATGTGTCGTTCTCTCGGAGTAACATATTCTTTGATACGAATAACAACTGAAAGAAGAGGAAAAAGAAGACGACCGCAAGTCTAGAACTTGTGATGTTGACTGTGTTCAGTCATTCCATCTTACCCATTCTAATTACATATAATCGAATTGTATATTACTCTCTCCTTTTTTTTTTCTCCTCTGTTTGTCTCTCTATATCTATTAGTAGTTCAATAAGACTTTAATCAGTAATTGATCTTACACGATGATAGATAAATCAATTTCTGTTTGATATCTCTTATCATATTCTTTTATTGGTTCTAGTTAGCTTATAAAAACTAAGATAATCATATTGTATGTCGGTTGAAGAACAGAAAAGAAAAGATGATGATGATGAAGAAAAAATATATTGATGATGTTCTATGTGTATACATTAGATGTCAGGTCAAGAAACTAAATAATGGAATAAACTATAAATGTATATGTATATGTATATACATTAAATAGATGAACAACTAGAATAATTTGACCTTAACCGCAGGCTAAATAACAAATAAAATTCCATTACTTACCTTGTTGACATATTGAACAGCAATAGTAGATGTATATGCCTATAACTCAACAAGTACAAGCAAAAAAAAAGAGATCAAGATCTAGAATAAAAAAAAATAAAAACTATTGCAGTTCGTCAAATGTTGCTCATTGTTTGTCTGACAAGACAGAAAAAAAAAGAACTCAATCGATCGTTGATCGATCGATAAAAACAAACAAACAAAACTTTTTCCGGCTATTTCTTCTTCGTTCTTTCTTTCTTGTCTTCTTTCTTCAATGATGCATCATCGTTTCTTTCCGTCTGCCAAGTTTTTGAACAACAAATAACCAATAAAAATTTTCTTTTCAAAATTTCTCTTATTTCATATTTTCATTCGAAACGATTTTAGAAATTTTTTCCTTTTATAAATTATCTTTTTTTCTCAACTAGCGACCTCTATGAAATTTTTATTGGTAAAAATACCCGTTTATTTCATCGCTGTCATCATAGATAGACAGAGAAGAAAAACTATCAACTTAAAAGTAAAAGACGCTTTAAATATATGAGTTTTCAAGTACAAACTTCATCGTCGATGTCAATTAACAATAAACTTGTCAGATCATTTTATTGATATGCAAAGACATTTATGATGAATAACATATATAAAAAAACAACGTGTTCGATTACTTTTGATAAACACTTGTCTCTATATATGTCACGTAAAATAAATACGTTATACAAATTCGTTTTCCCCCTATTCATTTAATAGGAATACTATGCATATTTTGTTTTTCGAAAATATCGAATATAGTTATATAAGGTTAAATGCAAAAAATTCATATTCTTTTTTTCTCCTCTAGTCTGACAATTATAACAAGATCGATGTCAGAGAAGATCAAATAATATAATGCCGCTGGTTAAATTTTGTATTTATTCTTACGTTGAGTATAAATAATTATATTAATATCTTTTTTTTTTGTTGAGACTATCGATGTTGTTGAAAGTACTTAAATAGAGTTTTATCTTAATTGCTTTTCTGAGAAATTTATTTTATAAGAAAATAAAATAGGTGTATCAAATACTTTCTTTCTGTTGTATTTGTTATTATATATTAAAATTTTTGTTTTCATTTAAATTAAAATAATATTTACAAGAAGATAGAAAATATTTATCTTTGTAATTGATTTATTTTCATAAACAAGTGTTTTTAATACAATGATCAACAGAGCATAACCTTAAGTATATTAATGCATTTACTATTGAAAATATTAGTTTTTAATCAATCGAAGGTATTATATCATCTTCCGTACACTCAAATACTTATTGCTCACTTAGGTGTGTTGAAGTGAACTGAGAAAGGACATTGTAATATTCAATGATAGCGATCTGTTTACTACATGAATTAATTTATTTTCATAAGATAATTGTTAATGATACGATCGTAGTTAATCCTTTTTTTTTATAACTTTTTATTGTTATACAGATATATAAAAGTTGATTATTATAACAGTCGACATATATATTCTCGTTCTATTGTTGATAATGGTATGAATAGGAAATAGCACTTAAATTTCTCATTTGGATTAATACCATGAAAGAAATAAAGAGAGTATATATATAGCAATAAAAAGTTATAAAAAAAGTACCAATAATTTTTATTCTATTCGATAGAATAGATTCTTTCATATGTAAAATGAATTATGTGTTATAAAATTTGAATACATATATGAAGTTATGTATAATAATGGTTTAATAATTAACTGTTGATTTGTCAATCGAATCAATAAACGTATCATTAACAATATGATAAACTATTTAACACTTTGACGATTGCTTATGTATCGACAATTATGATTAAAGACTTTGACAATACGGTGTGTAATATATGTATATATCTTTAAGTTCTATGCCACTTCAAAGATGAGATTACTTCTTGAAAAATCATATCTTTCGTTTATATATATATCAACTACTTGTTGAAACTTAAGCTTTTGATATCCTGCTATCATAAGAGAATGTTCACCTTGAACTTGTTTTAATGTAAAGAAAACGTTGAACTCATTATATTCACAGCATGTTTATACATATATATACGTATTCTTATTAACGAAACACATGGTGAAAGTATTGTTGCTATTGGCTGTTATGCAAAAAAATAATAGAAACAGTTCATAACTCTATTCAATATTAAAGTTGCGTCTAACAATATGAGTGTATATAATTTGTACCATAAACAAGTTATGATATAATGATCATGCTGATTTAAATCACAGTTAGTCGAATAGATATACCTAAACATAAAATAATTCATTCTATTTTAATAATACTGTTTTCTATTAAAATCCTATTTCTACGAATGAATATTTTCGAAATACATTAAAATTAATATCTAAAGTTTTGTTCGTACAATCCATTCTGCTTCTCCTATTTGTTTTTCATCATGTAAATAAGTTGGATTAGAATGACTTTCATTTATTGTATTCATTCGATGTCTAGATGATTGCATCGATGGTGATGATTGTTCTTGTACTTTATCTTTTAAGTCAGTCTAAATTAAATAATAAATATTCAATAGAATATAATTAAAAGAATATTTTATCTACTTGAATAGAATTTTGTCCATATCGAACACCAAATCTCAATTTCGATAAGATTCTTTCCGGTAAAAATGGGAAAAGAATATCAAATACAGGTATTATGAATTTTGGATCCATACTTTCAGGTTTTCTAAAGCCTAAATTAACACAATTATTCTTAATTAATTAAATCTGTTATCTACCTGTAAAAAAACTAACAACTACACTAACAATCAGTGCAGTAAAGATTGAAAACATTGTGTACCAAAAATAACTCATACCATAAAATGGAACTAATGGACTTTTTCTATAGAACAAACAAACCAATATTTTGTAATTTTAAAATTATTCAACAAACTTAATAAGTGTTCGACAAAGACTTGTTGTTTGTGTTTGATACCATATTGGCGAAGTAATTGTTGTATTAACAAGCATAGTTACATTTTCTCTTAGATTAGTACATCCATCAATACGTGTTGGTAATCGAAATGAACGCATTTCACTTCGAAGCACTTGTGAACCAAGAAAAATCCATATTTGAACGATTACACTAACAATTAAACCAACTAAGGCACCCTAAATTTAAAACTTAATTTTTTCTCTCTATTTGAATAAAAATTATCTTGCAATAGTACCGCTGAATTAATCCAAGGAAGAAAAAATCCAATCATAAAAATTGCGCTTATAGGTCCTGATAAAACACCAAATAATGATAAACTTGCTTGAAGAAGATTACCAAGTAATGAAACAAGATAAGTTACTAATATACAAACAACACCAAAAATAAGTGCTAAATATCATAAATTTGAAAATAAACAGTAATTTTTTTGTTTTAGAAAATTTTACATAATATTTTTGAATACAAAAGATCTTGTTTATCTGTCAATGGTTTTCGATAAAAAAATTTAATTATATCAGCAAGCACAACTGCTGCTAAACTATTTAAGCCAGATGATAAAGTACTAAAATATATATTAAGATAATATATAAAAATAGAAGTAATTAATTTTGTCTGTTTACCTTAATGCACCACTGAATACACATGCAAGAAAAATACCTGGTAAACCTTTAAAACGTTTTAGAGTTTCCATGACAAATAATGGATAAAGCTAAAATAATTATCTTTATATATCTTGATGAAAAGAAAACTATACTTGATCTGCTTGTTTAATTAATCCAAGTTTTAATGGATCACACAAATGATATTTTGCAAATATAACAAGTCCAACACCACAACAGAGCGAAAGGATAAATATTAAACCAATTAAATTAAATAATAATGCTCTAGAATGAAATATTTTCACATAAAATTATATATAAGAAATCTCTACAAACAATTTTGCATGTCGAACAGTCGGAACACAAAGATAACGTTGTACTTGTGTTTGATTAAAACCTAAATATATCATAATAGATTTTTTCAATGTTTTCAGTTTATTTAGATGGCTTCAGATGGTATCATAATAATCGACCTCAGGCAATGAAAGATAGCACTCTACTATAGATAAGTCAATCAAAACAAAAATACAGTTTTACCATAGATTGCAAGCCATGTGAAAGTTGCACCAAATAATATACTCCAAACAGTATGACGAGTAGTTGGATCTGGATCAAAACTACAGTATAAAGTAATATATAGTAGTAAAAAGGAAAGAAGTCAAATTCTTACTTAAAAAATTCTACTCGACCCCCATCTAATGCTCTTTGCCAAACAGCTCGGCTTCCACCTGCATCAATAATACCTAAAATTAACAAAATATATCATAATTCTATGACAAAACTATTCACCTTGAATAACTGATGCAAGAAGACCAACAAACATAATTATTGTTTGAAAAACATCCGTCCACATAACAGCTTTCATTCCACCCTATATGTTTTAAAAATCAATTCTATGAAACCATATATATTATCTCAAATCACAAACCACTGTCGTATACATTGTACAAATGACTCCAATTGAAATAACACTAATCCAAACATTTAAACCAGTTACTTGACTTAAAGCTAAAGCAGGCGCATAAAGTACTAATGCCATATAAACTATCTAATAAAAGATCTATAAAGATCTTTAAAATGACAAATATTTTGTACATACCATTTGTACTGAAAAAATAACTGAAGCAACTAATCGTACATTTCGATCGAAACGTTTTTCTAAATACTAGATTATCAAAAATAAATTTATAATTATTAAAATTTGTTTCAGTGTATATTTACTTCATAAGCACTAGTTACTTCAAGTTTAACAAACATTGGCATAAAAAGTGTTGCAGTTAAATAAACTGTAAATATATAACTAATACCTACATAAAATCAATAAATTTTTCTGAGAAATAATTCGACTTTTTTTTTCTTACAAATAATCCAATATTGTGTACCATAAATATAGATTTCTGCTGGAGTACCCAATATTGTAATAGCAGACATAAAACTAGCAAGTAAACTCATAGCAGTAGGAAATACCTAAATTTATATTTTTAGAATTTATTTGTATAGGAAAATATTTGTATTATAACCTACACCCATAGATTTACCAGCTAAAAGATAGTCTTTTGCCGTATTTGTTGATTGTTCAATAGCACCATTTTCACCATCTCCTTTCTTTTTTTTTCTTCTCTTATCAATAAAACCATAGAATAAACCAATTGCTGCAGAAAATAATAGTAATAATGCAAAAATGATATAATCAACAACATCAAAGCGCATATCTTTCGATGGCATCTTTTTGTTTGATTATAACCTGAAATAGTTGATAATTATATAGATATCACTATTTTTGTCATTTTATTCTAATTGGACGATAAATCAAGATAACAAACTAAGTTTAAATAGTTACAAAATGTACCTGGTACTTTTTCTTTTTACAAGTTTAGATCGATTTAAATAAAAATTTTCGTTATTTGATTATATTCTAGAAACTGATTTTCTTCGTTTTATGAAGTTTAACAGATCCTTCTGTTTTTTTTATTGTCAATAAAATAACTTAATCCTTTTCACCTTCGTCATTTTATATTGTCCATATGATCAAAAATGTCTCGACGATAATCGTTTTCTTCCTCTTATCTTCGGTCATCATCTTCGATCGAATAGAGAAATACATATAATAGTCCAGACAAAGTAAAGTGATAAATTTTAATCGTTGCCTTGTTCGGCTCGCGAACATCTATATCTATATATATATTACTGTTAAATATTCACACACATATATATTTACGAATAGACGTAAAATTTAATAAGAAACAAAAAATATGTCGTCAACAACGAAATGTTCCATACAATTACAAATAAATCCCTGTATATCAACAGGATGTGATTCAACTAGTGAAGTTATATGTCGTCATTGTCATGAACAATATTGTTATTTATGTTTTATGTGCCATCGAAAATCATTACTAGATGATATGCAATCAATATCCGAACAAATGTCATTAAATCGTCGTCAAGGTGTATCGGAAGTTATTGAATTTATTAATAAACAATCTAAAGATGCACATGATCAAGCAAAAAAACTTGTTAATGATGTTATTGATCGAATTATTAAAGCAAGTCAAAATATAAATACATATATTGAAAATCGTCGATTAGTTAAAGTAAATTTCTTTATTATTGGATAGATAAAAAGAATTCATTTTATTCGATTATAGCTTAATCGTTTAGAAGAATGTTTACAAACATTTGATAAAGATGCTGAATTACTTAATTCAAAACTATCTCGACAAGTATTTTTACCAGCTGATACGCTTTTAGAATTACGTCGTAAATATGCATATAATATGTTTAATATATCATCATCATCATCAGGAACTAAAGATACTCTAGTTGATAATGAAGAATTTTTTGAAAATTATCGTTATTTTGATGAATTAATTAATTTACGACAAAATTGGACGTTTCTTCAAGCAGCTTTAACAACTGTTTATTTTCCTGGTAAAAAAGATTTTTCATTAGATAAAATTTTAACATTTCTTGAATATCGCCATGTAAGTTAAATAAGATAAATTTTATAATAAAAATTTATTAAATTATCTTTAGGATCGAGTATTAGAAAATTATCGAGATTATTTATCGATTAATGATGAATCGAAGGGTAACTGAATATTTTTCTAATGATTTTTAATAAATTTTATTAAATTATAGAAGTATCATCGAAATCAATTGAAGATTTATTAAATGAATTAAGTTTCTTATCGAAAAAAGATGTGTTACCAACAGAAGTAAGAAAAAAAAATGACTTCTATTTTTATAAATTATTTATTTTAGACGGAAAATTTTTCATATATCAGCGAAACATTAAATGATAGTGACTTAATCAAGGTTGATAGTGGTCATTTCGATGATGAGACATGTTCAAATTCAAGTCATAGTTGGCAAATTGAATATAATGATAAAATCGATGATTCAATAAAAAATTTTGAACAAGATTATCAACCATTTTGGCTTAATAAGCATTTAGAAAGCTCTTAGACTTGCTTTAGTATAAACTTAATTTAAATCTCTCTCTCCCTCTCTGTTCTTATATTTATGTTGCAGTTTTTTTTTGATTTAGCATTCTATGAGTGTAATAATATATTTATATCAATGAATTAATTATTGTTATTATTTAAACGCAAAGAAATGTGAAATTAATAAAAAATGCTTACCTGACAAAATAATGGTTTTTTATTTATAGTTGATCGAGAAATGAATCGTATTACTTTTCGCATGTATGGATATATATATGAATTGTTTTTAGTACGTGTTTAATTACAAGAGAAACTATTTTCAGTTGATTAAAACTTATCAGTTTCGAATGTAAAATCTCGATTTCTCACATTTAATAAAATGTCATGAAAAAAAAATATATACGATAAAGATAATTAAAATAAATGATTGTAAGGTCGTATTGCCATTATGTGAGATACAACGGAAGTAATAGTTTCATTTGAAACAAAATCATACATTCATCATTATCTGTGTCAATCAGTTTCTAATTTCATAGTAATATAAAACTTAATTACGATTAAAAATAATGTGCTTGATACTAAAAAAAGAACATTGTTATAAATATTGAATATACCAATCAAAAACATAAGTATCATTCATTATCGTACAAAGAACATTACTCTAGTAGTTGATTTTACAAGAACTTATGTTACGGAAATTTGATAATAAATGTCAAATAGGATTGTATTACTGTCATACAATCAATAAAATTGATTAAAGAACTTCTATCGTTCTATAATTGATAATTTTTATTCAACTAACAAAATTTAATCTTATCATAGACCTGAACCTTCTTTTGTACTTACATGATGCTTATATTAACGATTAAAATTTACCTCTGAAGTATTATGATCGATCAGATAGTAAAAAACTTCAATGAAATAATCTTGTAACTATAGAATTTCAACTAATTATTCCCTTGAATAAACATAAACCGAATATTTCCATTATATATCTTGTGTCATCGATTATTATTCTAGACATTTTTGTGCCGCATGATTTTCTCTAATCTTTTACGTAATATATAAAGTAAACCATAACTTATTTTGAATAGATAACTATAACCTTAGAAATTAATAAACCGATCATTAAAGTCAAATCGATAATATTGGTACTATAAAAAAGATTTTTCTTTTTCTTTTGTTCTGTTGTTTTATATCAATTAGTCATTGACTAGTTATTAGAAAAGTAGTCTCTTGTTGTATTAATGTCAGAATAGTATGTCTCATATGATCGATGCTTTGCTATTCCGCCTATTTGATTAATTACACTCAATATGTCATCAATATGTTAACTGCTATATCCAAATAAAAATAGATGTACACTATACGTACGCCTTTTAAAGAACAGAATAAATACACCTAAAGAAAAATATCTCTATACAGAAGATAAAAGTTATTGTTAGTACAAAGAATACTGATGAATGATATAATATGATTTGTAATGACAGCACAGTAAAACTAGAAGTTTGATCCATTTCATATGTGGGGGTATTCTAATGCGTAATATTCTTAGACATATACAGATAATAAATATTATGATGATGAATAAGAAAAGACATAACTTTTGTTTTGAGTTTTAGCTATTTTACGTCATCCTATGACGCATTATCTCGTTGATTAGAATAGGAACTATAAATTCAGTTTAATAATGATATTCCATTTTCAGTAAGTTCGGATAACACATATATTTACTTCTCTTAGATTCCATTATTATTTTCAAGATAATGAAATACAACAAAACAGCTCTTCACATACACACTTTATAGCACTTCTTAGAATGACATATTTCTTTTTTCTTCATTGATAGTACAGGATCAATAAATATTAGATTTCTTTATAGAATTCTCATCGGTTTTTTTTTGCCCTCGTCCTATCAAATCAATATTGAGGAATATCATTGACAATATACATATTGTTATATATTACAATATGTTAATAATAAATGCAATTCTATTGACATATTTCTTATTTAAATCAAAGAGCAAAAAGAAAAAATACTAAAAATAATCGAATAGTCCACAATAGATATTGTCATTTTTTTATTTAGCATAATCAAAAACTAATCATGTGCAGTAAATATATAGTCATAGTCCTATCTCTAAATAGTAAAATATACATTTATAAGGATTTCGGTTGAATAAACAATACGATAGACATCTCCGATAAGTTTTGTTTGTTTTTTTCGGTAATAAATCATAAGATAAACTATCTTTATGAAAAACCAATATAACAAGAAATCGTAGGTTTTTTTTCGAACAAAATAATACATTCTTTTTTTGCCTATATTGAATAAGATCTCGTTCTTAGATTTGTTTCCTTGCTACGCTTCGCATTATGGTATATGATGTCAACCGAATGAATCAATGCTTCTTCTGTTCTGTTTTTCTTTTCTTACCGAGCTAGAATAACAT